GTTCTTCCCATATTTTGACGTCATCCTGTGTATCTACAGTATAACTGAACAGACAACCTTTACGGCAAAATCTTATCTATTTGTTAAATTGTGTTTTTTGTGCGCATCACTAGAGCAGTGTGGTTAACTGAAATTTGTAAGGAATTAAAATTTTTTATTTCATCTAAATTGTTATAGTTTGTTCATTTTGAAGTTATTGAGCAAATGCTTTGAATTGTTCTTCTTTCAAAAATACCGAGACCGAACCGAGGTTCTTCCAGCACCAAAAGGCCAAAGCCAGAACCAGGATGAAATTTCTGGAACCACACAGTTCTACACATCAGAAACCCAGGGGTGGGAAAAATAAGCAAGCTCGCAGGAAATTCGTTTGAACGAAGATTTGCTATTGAAAATTTGAAGGAAACCTTAACACCCATGTCCCACTATGGGCGCAACAACATATGGTTGACAGACATTATTCATTGAATTTAAAACCATGGTCAGCTAGAACACTATATGTTTTATGCACATGCAGATTTAGCACAAAAATACTCCGTTGGTCTGCAGGAAATTTTTGTCTCCAGGTTGTGCTCCCAGAAAGAAAATTCTTTTCTCCTGCCCTGCACAAACTTTACCTTTTCCATATGAGGGTGTAAAGAAGCGATCAAATAGTTGATGATTTATTGGCTTTGGTTCACTTGGAATGTATGGAAGGACATCTTCATGACTCACATAATCTAAACCTGCACATAGAAAAACATGAGATAGAACATTTTTTTGTTGATCTATTTCTTTATTGGGAAACTTTTCAAACTTGCCCTCAACTCATTCTGAATACAAACATGTTATTCAGGGATGGATTTATGGGGGGTGCGGGGGGTGTGCACCCCCCTAGCCCTGGCCAGAGAGGGGTGTGCTATTTTTCATGATAAAGCAAAAAATTATTAAAGGCAAAATGAGATACAGTAATTTGAGGAATAACATGATAAGAGAACTGTGAACAACAATTACAATTCAAATACAGTAGTCAAGCAAGACTTTGCAGTAGTGAAGCAAGTTCGGCACCAGAGCTGGCAGAGCCCCCCCACCAGATCATGCTGGATCCATCCCTGATTTTATTTATACAATCATGCACTCGTAAGCTAAAGCAGGAGTCTTACCAGGAATGGCATAAAGAGAGCCATCATTATCATTACCAAGAAATGTCACAGATTCAACCTGAGCTCTCTATGAAAAAAACAACAACAAAACTTGTACATGTTTTATCAAGTGGAAGCAGTGTGCAATTAACAGTAGCCATTGGCCATTTTCTGAGGAAAATGCTAATGTGGCTGACACTGATTGGTCTCCATAAACCACTACGGCAGACCATTTTGCCACATTAATTGGTTGATCTGACATTTCCCAAATTTGCTTAAGTGTTGTACAGAAAACAACAATAGCTTCAATTAAAGGAAGGTGGACAATTTAATCCATAATTGTAAATCATTATGTTTCATTGTCAGCCAGCAAATTTGAGAAAGAAAGTGAACACTTACAGTGTAAGGTGAATCTCTGTTATCCATTAAAACTTGATAATAAATTTTTGTTTGTCCTTTTAGTTCTTTCATTTCTTCATTTTCACTGTCAAACATAATTACAGAATCAGGGACATGTATGCTGGGGTCTTAAAAAAGACAACGAATGACCAACGTCTGATGGGGGGCCCAGGCGCAGTGAACAATGGGAGCGGGGGAGAGGTGGAAGGTCACCAATTTTTCCACACATATCGTAATTTTTCCTGGAATGCAAAAATTTTTCCGGGCATATCGTAACTTTTCGGTCCCACATACAAAAATTTTTCGATAATGTTTTCGTGAATTTTGATTTTTACAATATAAACTTGTAATATCTTAATCTTGATTTTGAAAATTAAAATCTCAATGTTTGAAAAAATTTCAATGTTTTGATTTTAGGGGCCCATGATGGCAAGGGCCCACAACAAGTTCTCGTTGACTCGTCCCTAGCCAGCACGTCCCTGTAACAGAATGGAAAAATGATAGGTATAGTTACATTAGATTGTTAGAACATGGTTGCCCAGGCAATTCCACTGGAAATGCAATTGCTCCTTCTGAGAGATTTAAAGTCATACCCATATGAAAAAATCCAATTGGAATTCCAAATTCAATGGATTCTGATAGGAGAATATATATATTCCTATCGGATTTTTTTGTATTAGGGAAGTTAAAGTTGCCATAAAATATTAAAGTTATAAATACACACCATATATTTTGCACCTTTGGGCAAGCCTTGACAGGCTGCCCAATTTGGAAGAATTTTTTGCCTTTGCCCCTCCCCTCCCCTCCCCCCATGAAAATTCCTTAAAAAAGGTATTGTACAAAAGGTTGCATGCAAAATGTTGTGACAGTAACAAGTAAAAACAGTAAACCTTAATGTCGTCCCAGGCTTTTCAATATCACGGTCGTAAACTCTGGCCAACCAGGGAAATAGGACAACTCCTCTGTAACCAAACACACGGTGTAAAAATGGCTGCAAGAATACAGAACACAAGTTAAAACCTGAGGAAACATTACCAGATACAAATAATCTAATGATACAAGGCTTGCGTTGTAATCGATTACTTTTCTTTTGCTTTTTGACAATCAATATTCTAGAGCTGTGCCTGATTAACAGTAACCACCAACCACACACCCCACCTGGCACCCTACTGAAATATGTCCAGAGTTGTGAACCAACAAAGTCAGAGCCAGACGTTTTAGCTGTAAAATGGCTGGATCCAGTTACATCTCTACTTTAATCACTGTGGATGTGTGTAGATTTAATTTCAATGCAATTTATATTTAACTATGCAAATGCAGAATGACTGAAATGAACCAATAGGAACGGCTCTAAATAAACATTACAGAGATTAATGATCGACCTGAATGAACATGAACAAGGAAAACCCCCGGCAATGCCTCAATACCAACCTGTCCAGACGCATATTTCTCTTGCAGTTTGGGTATTTCAAAACGACCCACTTCGGCAAGTCTGTGGAAAAAATAAGAGTAAAACAACCGTTTAAAGTAAAATTAAGGCTAAAAATTAAAATAATTGTCACTTTTAGTCCGTTTTTAACCTTGAATATTGTCTAGTTCGTGCAATACGTTGAAATATTTCGTGAAAAATCTTTGATTTCTCTCTCACTCGCGATAATTTGACGGCCATATTGGTTTTCAAGGCTTTTGCCCGCAGAAATTCTGCCCGTGCGCAGGTTGGTCAGTTGTCTTGTACTTCAGGAACCAATGACAGTCGAGAACGAAATGTCTACAAGAACCAATAGTATGTGGATAATAAAACACGGTTCTGATTGGCTGTCGATGGTAAGAAATCTTTAGATGTTTTCGTTTAGAAAATCACATCCAACAAATCATATCCAGACCACCCATATGTTTTCTACAAATTGCTAGTGTGAACTATTTTGGACTTTGGTTTACAGCAATTAGACTTTATCGATCCAGTCCCATTACTTTTATATTTTTATTTTTTTTATTTAAAAATTCAGTATACCACATGAATAACAATAGCGTAATATAAATACACTAGGCGAACAATCAATAGGACACGAGGTCAGATAAGATTTATCCCCCCTCCCCAATCAATCTAACTGAGAGAGTGCGCACTACACATTACAATTACAAGTAAGACGGTATTAACACGAACATAAATTAAAACTTAAAAGTGTTACTGTAACGATATTTAGGACAAATCAACTTATAACTTCTAATATTAATTGTCCTGGAAAAATAGTGCACGAAGTCTATTGAAAAAGAAGTTCTTTAAAACCGTTTTCATAAGCGTAACTATTCTCATCTTCTTGGCAGACAGTCTATATGATGATTTGTCGTGTACGTGGTCCTTTACAGCACGCGACTGTCCTTGCCACATGCAGGGCATAGCTGCCTGTTTGTATGTCTATGTCTGTCTTCAAGATTTGGGTTTTTTTCGCATGTCTTCCATATATTTAATAATTTTTAATATACATTGAGTATTTAGCAGTATGTGTAAGTACACAAAATCTAAATTCTTGGTAGGTGCCTTGCATGGGTTCTTTTTCAAATGTCACGTTCGTGCCTTGCATGCCCTTTTGGATCTTCAAGTTATTAATTCTTATCCCTAACTGTGCATGTATTGATAATATGTTGTATCTACAGTATTATCGATCCAAATAAATTTGTGAAATCAAATCAATTAAATACTGGATTTCTAGAGAGAAAAGTGTAAAGCCGATATGACTGATTTAATGTTATTCAATTATTAACATCATATATGTTATCAAGGCAACCAAAATTTTTCCGAAACAATGTCTAATTATTTCATAACGGTCGTTTTATAAAATAGTGGCTAATCATACAACAGTTGCCGGCTGTGAATCTTAGTTGGAGTAATGTAGTTAGTTTCCCATAAACCGCATTGCACCCAATGATTGCACCCCCTAAAATCGCTCGCGAGGGGAAGGCATGGCCCATGTCCCATTCCCTGCCAGCACGCCACTGCCCAGGCTGGCGCGCACACCCGTAATTATAAAACTGCTCCTTGTATTAAATGTTTTGGTTTTAAAATATAAACATTTCTAGATCTGTATAAATCGTTCGGATTGATGTTGAAGTACTTTTAAACATTTTTGTGTACGAATAGAAAGATAGTGCTCTTACTGTGTGCTAGTAGCCAGTAAAATATACGGTTGCTATAACAAATTCTGATCAAACACTTCAGAAATGACAAGAAAAACTAATAATTTACACGTTTCAGTATTCGAAATCATGAAATATTAATGACGACCTGTTGTTTAAATACATAGCCGTTATTGAAGCTATATTTTTATAGCCGTTGGTAGCAGTGATTCTTCAAAGCAAACATTTCTTCGTTTGTCAAGTAATAGTATTAATAAAACTTGATTCATTCCTGAGAGTAAATTTGCTCATTGTAACGGCATTTCTGACGGGAAAGCTGAGCCAGTTGAGATATTTGTAGTTTTGCCAATGGCGAGTAACGAAAGCGTACGGGTTTGGGCAAACGGCTGTTTCGATGTCTTTCATTTTGGCCATGCTAATTTTTTACGACAAGCGAAAGTTATGGGGGATTATTTGATAGCAGGCGTACACGGCGATTTGGACATAGCTAAGAACAAGGCCCATCCGGTAATGGGCGAAAATGAAAGGGCGAAAATTATTTCCGCAGTGAAATGGGTCGACGAGGTTCAAACCGGAATCCCGTATGGGGATGTTTTGAAAACGCTAAACGAACACGCGTGCGAATTTTGCGTACACGGAGACGACATCGCGCAAGACGCAAGTGGCTGTGATATTTATTCGGAGTGCAAGGAAAACGGAATGTTTCGCGAGTGCAAACGAACCGAGGGAATTTCAACAACGTCGATTATTGATCGAATTTTACTCGGCAACGCCGGTGGCCATGCTTTGGGTTGGAATAAAACTGAGGTAGACACACACTGGCCACATGCACCTTCCCTTTCGTGTGTAAGTAGATCGATTTAGCCTTTCTCACGCCGCCATTTTTGGGGAACTATGTAATTTTTCGTAAACGATTATAACAATGTGAAAAGCAATATTTCAGAACAAACTAACTATTTACAGAGTATAAATTTACCATCACACCGGCCCACACAATTATAAAATGTCGCCCGGGTTACGCGTGGTGTTACGCTCGCAGAATTGGCACAAAGTGATTTTCCGCGGTTTCAAAACTCCCCCTCATTTTGTTCTATTTTATCTAACGTCGTCAGGACAAAGCTCTCTAAGTATCGTTTAATAAGCTTGCGTGTTCGTGATGAAAATAAATTAATGTAAGCCCCCTGCTGTCGGTGGGTAAACATTATAGGTATTATACTTTTTAAATAAAAACACAGCGAATTACAGCAGAGAAACATTGTTTTCCTGTAGCCATGTTTCTCAAAAGTGGACAAACCAGAACACATAACAGACAACTTGCATGTTAGACTAATTTTTGATGTAGCCAAAAAAAGGTAAATTCCCGTAAGAACTTATTACTGAAATTAATAAAATTGCAAACTTTGGTTACGAAATGTTGTAAAATGCGGAAAATATAGCCTTGCGAAGTTTGCATATTTTGTATATGTTTGTATTACGTGCGGGAATTGTTACAATTTTTGAGCGAAAGTGGTAACAATTTCCGCACGTATAATACAAACATATTACAAAATTTGGAAACTTTGCAAGGCTATATTTTCCAAGCTTTATACAACTTAGATTAAAATTTAGTCTAACATGCAAATTGTCCATTGTTTAATTGTTTGCCAAGCTATTGCTCACATTGCTAATCGGCAGTTTGCCATGTTTGCCATAACGAGCAAACCAGCAAACATTATTTCATAGCAATATTTGCCAAATGTATAAAACCCGTTTTTCGCTAATTAAGCTATTCTGTTCGCGCGAATCGGCTTCCTCCTTTGTCGGGCATTGCTTTTCACGTCAGCAGAAGCGACACCGACAAAGGAAAAAGTCGCTTCGCACGACGACAAATTCGCCAATCAGGATACATTGTTTTCTAGCTATACATTTCCCACCACAAGCCTGACAACATTGTTGCAGAACGACGTTAAATTCCTAGCCATGTTTCCCAAATATGAGCAACGCATGCAAGAAACATTGTTCAAATGACAGAAACAAGGTTTACTTGCAGAATAAAATTATTTCTGAATTGGGCAATTAGTCAGAAATCGACTGATTCGATTGCTTACTCCATGATGTATAGCTATAGCCACACACTGGCGCCAATATGTAGCTGGCTCTTCGTGTACATGCACGATTAAGTATAATTTGTCCTTGGGCAATGTACATTAGCCCCAAATTTTCGCATATACTAGGGTTCGTGCATGTGAGGAAGAGTCAAATTCAAGGACTTTTTAAGAACATTCAAGGCTATGTATCAGCAAATTCATGTATTAAATACTGAAGAAAAGTCGTTGGAAATCAGTAAAATGTGACGTTCAATTGTTCAAAAAGGGCACAACGCCACAACTTTAATTAATTTCAAACAGCTTTGTCAGATTCATACATGCAAAATCAGTTCAACAAAATGTCCGCTCCGAAAGTCAAAAAATTTAATTTCGAAAATATCCATAAACTAAAGCAAGAAGAATTTAAGGACTTTCAAGTACTTCTTTACAAATTCAAGGCCTTCAATTTTTGTTTTCAAATTCAAGGGCCTTGTACTACGTACAAGGCCGGATGAACCCCCCCCCCCCTCCCCCGCACCAGATGGGGTGACTAACATTTGTAATATTCCCATCTAGAATGAAATGAAGAACGAATGTGAACCCAGTCACGTGGATGGCGAAGCCCAAATCCCAAAAGAAAGCGAAAGTAACGGCAGTAGTCGACCATTTCTTGAAATGCCCGAAGAATATTACCAAGAAAAAATCAACGAGTTTTCATCAAAAATCTCAAACCCAAGCCGAAAGAAGAAAATGATCTACACGCAAGGTGTTTTTGATCTATTCCACTCCGGCCACGTGGACTTTTTGGAGAAGTGTAAAACAAGCGTCGAGAACGGGTTTCTGGTTGTGGGTATTTTAACTGACGAGGAGGTGCATCGTGTTTACGGTAGTTATCCCGTGACCAATACATACGAACGTGCCTTGGCGTTGTTGTCGTGTAAATTTGTGGGTCAAGTGAAGATTGGAGTGCCGTATGAAATCACCTCTCAATTTGTTGATGACCTGAAGGTAATATCATTGGACTCTGGTCTATGACACACGTAAAAACGCACAAGTTGTAACAAACCTGCAGCAGACTTGTAGCAATGCTGTTCCGACAACTTGTCAACAGGATGTGTTCGCACTGCTTGTTTCCAGCTTGTTGACAATTTGTCAACGGCTTGTTGATCGATAACTTGCTACAAGGTTGTTGAGCTCAACAGACTTGTTACAAGTTGTTCCAACAATTTGTTATCGTCCTGCAATTCAACAATTTGTCAACAAGTTGTGAGTGACAACCTTGCAGCAACGTGATAAAATAACAGCATTGTTACAACTTGTTGACAACTATGTATAAAATTTACACTGCGAAATTTCCATCTAGAAAATCCTTCAACACTGAGTTCAATCGAAAATTAGATACCCAAAATCGAGCCCAAAATATCCTGAGAGTTTCACAAATAGTATATGTTTTTTTAAAAATGTAACTTCTTCGTCTTTCTCTCTTTTAAGGTTGAATATGTGTGTCACGGCAGACTGTGGGAACTCCCTTCTGACCCTTACAAAGCCATTAGAGAAAAGAACATCTTTTGTCAAATAGATAGCGGAAATGACGTCACAACTCGTACCATTATCGAAAGGATTATTCAAAGCAGGTAAATAGATATATTCATCATAACGTCATAGATATCAATAGATATCATCACATATATCATCATCGATTCTATAAGTTTAATAATTCTGTCGTGTTGTACCAGATATGTACAAACTCGAAAGGGCATGTACAAAGGTATGGTATGGTAAAACTTTATTTAAAGACGCTGGCCCCGACAGCAATTAGCTGATTTTAGCTGATTTCCACGGGGGGCGTCAAATATTAACTATTTACAAAAAAGAAATATTTACATTGTAAATGTTACTGGTGTGACCACAAATATCATTTAGCTATCATTACCTCTAATAATATTCTTAAATTGGCTAACAGATTCCGCTACCTTTGCATCAAACGGGAGGCTATTCCACAATTTAGCTCCACTATAATTGAAACTCTTTTTAAGGTACTCTCTTTTTGGTTTAGGAAGGGTTAAATCTGTTAGACTATTTCTAAGATCGTAGTTAGTTTGGCGAGTGTTTCTCAATATTAGAGACTCCTTAAGGTTAGGGCCGATGTAGCCATTCAAGACTTTGTACAACAATATTGATTTAGTTGTACACCGTCTTGTCTCTAGATTTAGTTGTACACCGTCTTGTCTCTAGATCCGTATGTCTGATGATTTCAACATGCAGTTGTGTTTCAAGAATTATTCAAAAAGAATTTTAATTGAGAGAATCGAGGAAAAAGTTTAAAGCAGAATAGGCGGAAAATTTTGTAAATGTACACTGCAACACCTCACTAAACAACATTGATTTCTTTTGAATTTTCTTCATGAATTATTAACGAGTTTTACAAGAAAATGAAGAATCTAAATTTTGGGGTTTTTGTAGGGAAATGTACAGTGAAAGAAATGCGAAGAAACCTGAAAGTCAATTTTCAAGAGTTCGTCTTCAGGGAAACAAATCTTGATAGATTACTGAAGAAAACACTACATGCACATATACTACATTCTTTATGTAATATTTAATATAGAAATATGGTAGAAATTGATATTGATTTAGTTATTTCAATTAACAGCTATTTCAATTAACGTTGTCCACGAGCAAAGCGGAAAGGTCGAATACGAGCGCGAAAGGCTGCTTGGAATTGCTGACAAATAAATGAATTTGCATATGCAAATAAATGAATTTGCATATAACAAATTAATGAATTGGCATTTGCATATGCAAATTCATTAATTTGTTAGCGATTCCCAGCAGCCTTTCGCGCTCGTATTCGACCTTTCCGCTTTGCTCGTGGACAACCTTAATTGAAATAGCTGTATGATGGACAACATGCAACCGAATATTGGAAAAAATGAACTTTGGAAAAAAATTCCTAAATGCAAATGAATGAGATTTTATCAACTACGGACCGTGTCCCTCCCCCACTATCCCCTCATCCCAAATAATGCCGAGGGATAATGGGAGGGGGTCGTGGGGCGTCAGTCTTCTCAGTTATACCAGGACTACCAGGACTGACGCACCTGATTTCAAAATTGCAAAAAATTAAAAACTATCTAAAAGTACACGTTGATTTCAACTGGCTCACTGACTCTATGCATTCCGTTAAAGCAGTCTTAAAAGTTGAAATGAAATTAAATAATTTTCAACCTTTGAAAATGTTCAGCCTTTCGGTGAAAATAGCATATACTGTGATATACACATGATGTAAATTTGGTACTTGGCATTTATCAAGTTATAATTCTTTACTAGTACTGTTCAGTGCAAAATGGGTTGGGGTATAGTAATAGTTATGATGAAAACAATAAAAGATCAAAGTAACTGCTCAAATAGTGTTATATATTTCTAGTTTTGCAAGTTCTCGGACACTTGTGGTTGTGTTTTATCATATCTAAAATGCTCGTGCTGTGCACTCGCGCGCATTTTAAATATGATAAAACGTACAAAAAACACTCCTATTAATCTCGAATTCAGAAGGTTCGCTGTGATTGGTCGAACGGAATGTGCAGCTCAGTTCAGCAGCATTCTCGTACCCAGAGCCCTTCTTACGCGCGGTGCGACGAGGGGCTCTGGCCAAATCCATAACCGGATACCATAAAAACATGGTAAGAAAACAATATCCGGTGTTAGAACTAGCCAATCAGATGCCAGTTCGGAATATGGATTTGGCCAGAGCCCCTCGTCGCACCGCGCGTAAGAAGGGCTCTGGGTACGAGAATGAGTTCAGCAGACGTTCAGCCTCGTACCCAGGCGCTGTGTTGTTCCATGGCCAGTGAGCTCCATATATATCTGGAGTGGGAACTTGGTTGCTCAAAGTGAAGCCAGTTTCGTGTTAACCGCGCATACAAAAACAATAGAAAGGGACTGGAACTGACGTCCAATAGCTCTTTCAATTTCCGCCATCTTGGCAAGGAGTGTGTTGAAATTTCGTATTTTGACTTCGATTTAAAGAATAATATTGTGCTTTTATGAACTGAAAACTTGATTAGTGATACGGTCCATTAGATAAAACTGGAATTAGCTTGGGAAAATGGTATAAAAACTGTTTACGACCTTCAGAGCTATTGGATGTCAATGGCCGCCATCTTGGCTTCACTTTTCTCATTGACCGAATGACTGAAGTTCGTACTCCAGATATATATATATAGAGCTCACTGTCCATGGCTTGCGCGACCTTTACGTGGGCCGCGTGGATTACGACTTTTTCCTTTGTTGGCACCGCTTTTGCTGACGTGTAAGCGATGTCGGTTGACAAACGGGAAAAGTCACTTCGCGCGACTGAACAAATTCGCTTAGTAGAAAACGGGCTTTAGGTAAAAATATTTTGCTTCCACGTTCGTAGACTTGAGTATGGCCTGGGAAAAGTCTATCACCCTCAAAGTTCCGGCTTTTGTGAGATTGAACATAGTTCTCTTTATAATATCAGTTCCGTTTCATATAAAAATTCATTAATTTTAAAATACATTATTGAAAGGGTTCTTTCAACTGATATATCATTCCATATCTCAGATGTTTGCACAGCAGGACAGATTAGATAAATATTCCAACTTAATATTGCGTTGTATCGAGTTTATGAAACAGTTATAGGTGTTGCAGTATATACTAGCAAGTTTGTGCAGATGGGTTTTTGATATAAATAGACGGATAATCATAATTTGCATCTTTGTACAAGGGTGGACTCTGATGGGCGGGGAAACATTGCAATTTCAGTCTTCAAGCCTGTATATCCTCTCGTCGTTGCCTCAAAAATTTGAGGAATTCAGAGGGAGTTGTTCGAATTTATTAAATTAAAGCCCTTTGTCCCTGGCCTTAAAGACTAGGGACAAAGCTAAAGGCCGGGGACAAAGGACATTCCTCCCATTTCATAACATATTGCAGGTTATAAATGTTACAATATTTCAAAATCAAAGTTTTTGTGTTTTGCTTTTTGTGAAATTAGTTATTTTAATAAATATTTACACCTTTTTGTTGTTAACGTCATAATTAAATTTTCGCGGCACGTGGCATCACTATGCTCATCACGCAAGGAAATCTTCGTTAGTATTCGGACAATAGTCGGCAAAGCTTCGGTATTTCAGGATTTCATTTGAAATTTTGACAATATCATACCAAATTAAAAAGAAAATAAGGTAATGGGAAAGATTTCAAAACTGTCTTGACATAAATAAACTACATATAAACTTAAAAATCAAAAGTGAAGTTTAACTAAAGGATTTTTTCGGTAATATTGTCTGGCATAAAAATGTTTACAAAATGGCGGGCCATCTTCGGGTTGCTGCCCCTATAGCCGTTTGAGTGATGTGTTTTGATTGAAACCAGAGCTTCAGACGTTTATGAATTAAATTACACAGGTGTTGAGACAGTGTCAATGGTCGTCAAATATTTATAGGCTTTGTCAATTTGTGACCTCATTCAATCGTGTTTCGGTTTTGCAAGAGTGCATTTCTTTGTAATACTGTATATACCGGAAAGTGTCAAGGCTGTGTGAAATCTGTGGTTGAATAGAATTCCACGCACAACCCAAAACGCATCAAACATGGCCGCCAACGGAGAAGAAGTGCCAACGAAGAAAAAGAAACAAGTTCGCGTTTGGGCAGATGGCTGTTACGACATGGCTCATTTTGGCCACGCTAACTCGCTACGTCAAGCCAAGGCGATGGGCGATTATTTGGTCGTCGGCGTACACAGCGATGCGGAAATAATGAAGCATAAAGGGCGTCCAGTTGTGAATGAAAAAGATCGCTACAAAATGGTACGAGCTATCAAGTGGGTCGATGAAGTGGTCGAGGATGCACCGTATGTAACCAGCCTCGAGACAATGGATCAGTACAACTGTGATTTCTGTGTGCACGGAGATGATATTACCACGGATGTGAACGGGGTGGATTCCTACCGGTATGTCAAGGCGGCCGGCCGGTACAAAGAGTGCAAGCGTACCGAGGGCATCTCCACTACCAACCTGGTTGGTCGTATGTTGCTGCTGACTCGTGATCACTTTCAAATGAAGTCTCCGATCGGTTGCTTAGATACGGAAATGTTGGGCGAGGGTAGCTCGGATCCGTCTGGCAAGAGGAGTCCGTGGACCTCCGTATCACATTTCATGCCGACCACGCATAAAATCGTGCAGTTCTCTGATGGTAAAGAGCCCAAGTCGACTGATAGGATTGTCTATACACCAGGGTGCTTTGATCTATTTCATGCTGGCCATGTTGATTTCCTTGAGGAGTGTAAGCAAAAAGGGGACTATGTTATCGTCGGCTTGCACACTGATGTCGAGGTCAATCGTTACAAGGGTGCCAATTTCCCTGTCATGAATCTTCATGAGAGAGTGTTGTCCGTCTTAGCATGCCGTTACGTTGACCAAGTTATCATTGGAGCGCCTTATACTGTCACAGCAGAGTTGCTAGATCAATTCAAGGTATGGATGGTATAACTTTCTGTTTGCTCGCATTGCTGCTGCCTGAAACCACATCTTGTTTTTTCCATTACTTATTTAAGTTCCTGTGTACACTGCGATTTGTCGGGCCAATTTAATATCCAATTTAGGCAAGACTTTTTTTATTCATTGGTTTACGGATCCGCCGACCGTAAATATTCAAAAAATTAAAAAATTTGGGTGTCAACAATTTTACGATTTTAATTAATTTGGGGTTCTGACATGAAGTACACGCCAAGTAAACTTTGACTCTAAGTACTACTGGCTCATGTTATCGTTGTGACAATCTTGAAAAACAATGTTTTTTAAAAAAAATTTTCCGACCTACCGACCGTTTTTTTTTCAAGGAAAATCCGTAAACCAATAAATAAAAAAGTCTCACCTTATGTTTGAAATATACAAGGAAATAGGGCGAGGCAGTTAATCAATAAACCGGAAAGAACCGATGTTTTTTGAAAACCGATTCAACCGATGTTGTTCCAGGCAGAAAACCAGGGGAAAATCAGAATCACACACTTGATTATAAAAATATTTGTTATAAAAATATTTTTTCAGACCATTTTCGGTTTTTACCCTGAACCGCCTACAAGGAAAGAAAATAGTTGTCATTGGCCCTAGTAAATTGCAATGTGGAAACATCAGGATTTTTTGGGAAGTGTTTTGTAGATGGGAATTCAAAACCCTTCAAAAAGGTGCAAATTTACCTTAAAATAATTTTTTTCAAAGCTATTTTCTCTTTTTAAGGTTGACTATTTCTGTCATGGCATGACTCCAATCTCCCCAAATGCCGATGGTAATGATCCTTACGCCGTGCCAAAAGCTCGTGGAATGTTTACGGTTATCGACAGTATAAACAGTACAACGTCTGGGAAGATTATCCAGAATATTATCATGAACAGGTATAGTGTCATGAATTGTAATTAGTAATATGCAATGTGTGTGTTTATGTACAGTACTTAGGATTTTCTGATAGAAATTAGGACTATCCAATTAAATGTACACAAAAATTTTACCACCTTCCTACCTCATAGAACAATCGAAATGACATCAATTAAAAATTAGACGTATGTAAAAACTGCAAAAGGTTTGACTCGCTCTTGCGTACATACTGAATGGATGACCTCATAAATTAACAGAACTTAACCCATGCCAGTAGGGCGCATTTGGGCGCAGTGCAACTCAACCCTTTCACATGTTCGTCAGACGATTTTACTCGTCAAGTGGACAGTGCTGCCTCTCAATGGGTTAATATCAAGCACCGAGAATTCTGAGCCCCCTCAAATGTTCTTCACCTTTGACAATTGTGACTTACCGTACTAAAATCTAACTATAGCATCATAGTGTATGTTCTTAACATTCAGGTTAACCTATGAAGATCGTAACAAGAAGAAAGAAGAAAAAGAGTACAAAGTATGGGAATCTATTCAAACCAAAGCAAAGGAAAGCAAAATCAACGAAGCAGTTGGGAAAGCGGAATTACCAGCAAACAAATAAACTGTGCTTTTAGTATTTATTATCCTTGGAACTGACAACTGTTAAAATTAACCTTAAATTATCCTAATGATATTTAACTAATTAGACGGGAAATTAGTTTGTTCTTAGAACAAGGTTATTCAATTTTAAAACTTAGAAATTCTAAATTCTAATTAACTAATTAAGTTTTACAACCAATTGGGATGAAAATTTGGACCTGACTTATATAGCTGTACTTTAGGAAGGTAGTCTTGGACTTGACTTGCATACTTTATATTGTTGATTCATACATGTGAAACATATTTAATTAAAACATTTAATAATCACAATAAACTTGGTGTTCAAAACTGGCTCATCTACCAGCATTCCCAATACCGTAAACCTCCAACTATAAGCCCTGTTCTCGTAAGCGATTTTTGACGGGCTTATACAAGGGTTATACATGGACGATCTTTTGTGTTAGTAATAAACAAGTCAGTCATAAACAGGAAAATAAACATGTGTTAATAATGCGCTTTGATTAACATAGTAAACTATAAAGACAATGACAATGTTTTAAATATCGTTCTCTGCTATATTAAAAGACAATGTCAATGTTGAATAACGTAGTGGTCTACTGGGCTTATATTCGGGGGTAAATATTTCCTCCGTACAACAGAAATGTCAAGAGAAAGGTTACTTGCTTTTATAACAAATTTTAAACGATACTCTTCATTAAATATTTCGATAATCAGATAAAACTTCAAGATTTATGATGGAAAATGATTAAATCAGTTTTATGAAATAGTATGTCGTTTTCAAAAATAACGTAAGTCGTTAACCAGGCTATAAAGCCATACGATTTTTTTTGTAAGAGTTTGACCTCATTCTAGCCCCGAGCATAAGCCGAATGGGCATCAACCGAAATGAATTTCCCATTCTGTAGTGGATTTTCATCATCAACATTCAACATATAACCAGTAAGTTTCAGACCATATAAACACCCAGTATCCAAGCCAATGGCATGCCTGTATTTCTGAAGGAGGCGTCGTGCATCATGTCCGAAGATCACAAACTGGGGTCCGGGCCATTGGCTACCCCATCGTAATCCATCATCAATATTTTTAGAACCGGATAATTTTTCATGTACATAATTCCGCATGTTTATCATACTACGGGGTTTTTGATCTAGGAGTTTTACTCCAGGCACTAAACCCGCATGAACAACAATAACGTTTAACAAAGGAATCGAAATTGTAAATGGAAGTCGCTCAAAGAATAACCGCTCTTCAGGAGACAACTCAGTAATCCAAGAATAATTCTTTGGCAATTCGGCCATTTGGTTAAACTGTTTTAACCGATACAAAACAGCCTGTTCGTGATTGCCTCGTACCGAATAAGCCATCGATCCCAGTTGCCGTATAAGTCTGACCGTTTCGATACTTTTTGGACCCTTGTTGCAGACGTCACCAACAAATATAACTATGATATCATCGCTTTCATAAACACCGGCCTTTTCAAGTAATTCATTCAATTCGTCATGGCAACCGTGTACATCTCCGACAAACAAAATTTTTCGAATTTTCTTCTCCAAAGATAACTTGACGTGCCATTCAGGAGGCAAGCTGCACAAACTTGAGCTCTCTTCCACATGTAAAATCTTGTTGAAAAATTGAAATTGCTTTAGACGTGTAATTGCAAACGTCAGCAAAGTTAATAACATAGTGTTTTACCAGCTTTGTTTACAGATTTTAGACTTTTAAATACATTTAAATTTGAATGTTTTTAATGTAGAATCATCTCTCTGAGTTTGACAAATAGTTCCAAACTAGTTAACTCAAAATACAAACGCGTACGTATTTAATGGTTTCATATTTTGTTTATAAATTGCTCACCTACTTCCTCATTGTTATTGACCCCCGGCTACAATACGCTTTTAACTACCACAACAAGATCCTTTTATAAATTTCCGGAGGGTAGTCAATGTGAAAAGTTACTAGTTGTCCAGATCAGTGACATCATCATTTCAAATTGTACAAACACCCCCCTGCCAAAGAACATTTCGAGGTTACCAAAACCAAAAGCTCACAATTTCCCGGGGGAGCGGCAGTCTCTCCAAAGTTACCTCAACAGTCCAGTTCTTAATAAAAAACACGGATCAGTAATGCTGACTCAGCTATTTATTGTTTACATCTTCTGGAGTTTACATTCATTTTCATTTTCGCTTTCAAAACTAGTGGTATTAATTTTTAATGAAAATTTCTGTGCGAAATATCGTTCAATTTTCGAAGACTAAGTGTAGTTTTCCTCTCATTTCTGCAGCAGTAGTTTGCACCAGTTTGTACTACAGTAAGTGATATTGTTAAAATACTGTATATTTATGTGTCAATTTTTCGTTGTAGTCTTGTAGATATTTTTGAACTGTTATAAACAGATTTATTATTTGAATTCATGGCTATCGAACTCGACGAGCTGGCAGAATCTTATTATATTTAGACCTAGTATGCCAGCCCTAAGATTATTAAACAACAGCTAATTTTAATTAAGCAAAATTTGATTGGAAAATTTGTAAATAAATTCGAGTTCAATGCATCGTCATTTTAGTTTATATCATGTGGGCAGAGCAGACCACTCAGTCTGATATGGGCATATTGCTCACGTGGCTATTGGGATATTACTTTTTGATATGCATAATTCTCATAGTTACTCCCCTGATGAAATACATTAATATACACCCCTGAGGAATACCAGGGTTGTAAACCCTTTCTCGCTGAGGAATATTCCAAGGTCAAAATTGGTATTCTGAGGAAAACTTTTATATATGTAATACCCCTGAAGAATTCCGAGGTCAATTATATTATACTCCTATTAATAAAGCCCCGGTCAAATGAGGATGGGCCATTCCATTTAATACACTATGCACGAGAATTTCTGAGGGGGGTTGAAAAAGCCGTTTCTGAGGGGTTGTGTGCATCGGCATCCTTTGATCTTTGCATTTTTTCTGAGGGGTACGGCAAAAATTTCTGAGGGGGTGTTTGTGTCGGCGCTTTGATCTTTTTTTCTTAGGGGTTCAAATTTTATTGACCTCGTCCATAGGGGTGTGTGTACATTAAATGGAATGGCCCGATGAACATTGATGAGAATTTGCAGTCACGCATTGTCACAGGGGACATTTCAAGCTCTAAATTAACAAAATAAAGGCTTCATGAGTGTTCCAACTATATTTTAATGTTTCAAATAGAATACATGATAGTGTTGGGAAAGCAGTGAGAACAGCTAACCAAAGTCTTGTGACTGTCATGCACTCTCGTCATCATTTGATCAGGCTTAAAGAATCCCATTGGTCCCCAATATCAACAGGCAGTGTACGGATATTAAATGGAATAGCTTTTCCTATGAGGATTTTTCCTAAGGGCAAGCCTGAGGCATGCACAAGCTTTTGTTTGAATGGGACAATTGACCATTTGCGTAATAGACTAAATTTTGATCTAAACAAGTCTAGACAAAAATTTCATCATAGCTTGAAAGAGCATCACAAAATTAGTAATATTGCAAAGTTTCGTTGCAAAATGTTGTAAAATGTGGATAATATAGCCTTGCGAAGTTTGCAATTTTCAATCATGTCAGATTACAAACGGGAAATTGACAGCCCCAAAGGGTATTGAAACTTTGGAATATTTCTAATTTTGTGATGCTTTTTCAAGCTGTGATGAAATTTTTGTCTAGACTTGTTTAGATCAAAATTTAGTCTATTATGCAAATGGTCAATTGCAGGTTCCTTGCTACCCCCATCACCACCCCCAAAAGATTGGTTCCATTTTAAGGACTACAGGTTGCACAATGTACCATTGCGGTTCAAGTCATACTGAAGTAAATTTTGTGATTCGAATCTACACTATTATATAGCTTTACACCAGCCTTCGGCAGTCAATTTCACATATCTGAAGAGAACAATGCATACAAAAGCCAGAGGACCAGATTATTCAGGAACATCTGTCAAGAAATGTCCGGTTCCTGATGAGTTTGTCAAGTGGAGTGTCACATATGATGATTACAAACCAACTGAATATACCAGTGAGATTGTTTTGGGAAAACCTGTTTGGGCAGATCCAGATATGAGGTATAAAAATTGCAAACTTTGCAATATCTTACAGTGCACATGAATGAAACTGACCATCCATGTTCAACAGGGGCGTAGCCAGCCCCAAATGAGACTAATCGTCGAATACACGTAACGACTAGGGGGTCTGCGAAACACTATTTAATTCATGCATTTTAGACACGTTTTATGATAATCTGAAAGCCATAGAGTTGACATATTGTAATTGTATGTTAGAGATGAGGTTATGCCCCCCCATTTTTGGTGTGAGTAAAAATTTGCCTGGCATTGGACAAAGTAAAATAATAAAGTGGTGTGCATCAGGTGCATTCCCACTTAGGGTTAATAATTTAATTATATCAATTTTTTTCTATATTTTAGTCAATGTAAGCCAGATCCACCATTTCAGTATAACAGTAAGGATGCTCATTACAATGTTGACAGAACCAGTTTTACTGGAAAATATGAAATTATTGACGACAGACCCAGGTGATGTAACAACTGATGGAGGAGCAACAACTTTTTAGGGCACGAGAAGTATTAATAGTTTGAAATTTTTTTTCAGGAATCCTATTGGGCGTACGGGTATGACAGGCAGGGGACTTCTTGGAAGATGGGGGCCAAACCACGCTGCTGATCCTATTGTGACAAGGTAGGTTTGATACAATCAATAACTCAGATTGATATGATCATTATAATCAGTCACTTAAAACTGACATAGTCAATGTGTTGCCTATCATATATTTGCTCGTAGATGGAAAATCAATGGAAAAGGTCAGCGAGTGCAAGAAAATGGAAAACCACTATTGGAATTTGTTGCAATTAAAAGAAAAGATAACGGACAATGGGCTATTCCAGGGGTAAGATCAATATTCCCGGTTTTCTAGGAGATAAGATAGATCTACCGGTTCATATTGTTTACTGTTTATCTCACATTTTTGTGATTCAAGTGTTTGCTCTACAAAATGTAGGGAATGGTTGATCCAGGCGATACAGTATCGGCAACATTGAAGAAGGAATTTGGAGAAGAAGCTCTCAACTCACTAGAACTTTCAGAAAAAGAACAAGAAAAACTACACAACATGTTGACAAAACTATTTCAAAAAGGACAAACGGTATGTAATGCCTTTTCATGTGATGTTACCCCACAGCTAACCTTGATCGCTAGGAAACAATTTGTTCTGGTTTGCATGTCCACCTTTGGGAAACATGGCTAGGAAACAATGTTTCATGGTTTGTCCACCTTTGGGAAACATGGCTAGGAGATATTATGTTTCCTGGTTTGTCCACCTTCAAGAAACATGGCTAGGAAACAATGTTTCATGGTTTGCCCACCTTCAAGAAACATGGCTAGGAAACAATGTTTCATGGTTTGTCCACCTTCAAGAAACATGGCTAGGAAACAATGTTTCATGGTTTGTCCACCTTCAAGAAACATGGCTAGGAAACAATGTTTCATGGTTTGCCCACCTTCAAGAAACATGGCTAGGAAACAATGTTTCATGGTTTGCCCACCTTCAAGAAACATGGCTAGGAGACAATGTTTCATGGTTTGTCCACCTTCAAGAAACATGGCTAGGAGACAATGTTTCATGGTTTGTCCACCTTCAAGAAACATGGCTAGGAAACAATGTTTCATGGTTTGTCCACCTTCAAGAAACATGGCTAGGAAACAATGTTTCATGGTTTGTCCACCTTCAAGAAACATGGCTAGGAAACAATGTTTCATGGTTTGTCCACCTTCAAGAAACATGGCTAGGAAACAATGTTTCATGGTTTGTCCACCTTCAAGAAACATGGCTAGGAGACAATGTTTCATGGTTTGTCCACCTTCAAGAAACATGGCTAGGAGACAATGTTTCATGGTTTGTCCACCTTCAAGAAACATGGCTAGGAAACAATGTTTCATGGTTTGTCCACCTTCAAGAAACATGGCTAGGAAACAATGTTGCATGGTTTGTCCACCTTCAAGAAACATGGCTAGGAAACAATGTTTCATGGTTTGTCCACCTTTAGGAAACATGGCTAGGAAACAATGTTTCATGGTTTGTCCACCTTCAAGAAACATGGCTAGGAAACAATGTTTCATGGTTTGCCCACCTTCAAGAAACATGGCTAGGAAACAATGTTTCATGGTTTGTCCACCTTCAAGAAACATGGCTAGGAAACAATGTTTCATGGTTTGTCCACCTTCAAGAAACATGGCTAGGAAACAATGTTTCATGGTTTGCCCACCTTCAAGAAACATGGCTAGGAAACAATGTTTCATGGTTTGTCCACCTTCAAGAAACATGGCTAGGAAACAATGTTTCATGGTTTGTCCACCTTCAAGAAACATGGCTAGGAGACAATGTTTCATGGTTTGCCCACCTTTGGCAAACATGGCTAGGAACTACCAAAACCACTCCTGGTTTAGGTCTACAATATGTATAATTATATAGTTCCATTGACTTTTTCTCCAACATAAATTTTGTTTTCCCTGCCTAGATTTGGAGTGGTTATGTGGATGATCCTCGAAACACCGACAACTCGTGGATGGAGACAGTCGCAGTAAACTATCACGACGAGTTAGGCGAGGTATTCAAGAGATTTCAATTGAAGGCGGGTGATGATGCGGGTGATGTGAGGTGGACGGAGGTGCGAGAAGATTTAGAGCTATATGCCAGTCATAAAGACATACTCGAAAAAACTGCCAGATTTCATTTTGCATTTTGGTGATGGCCACAAATTCTAGCGTTTTAACAATTTGAAACTTATATTTCATGTACAGTATAAGCTTTCACTGCATAAGGGGGAATGAAAAAAAATGCGAGGGATCATTTTGCATGTTAGTGAACTGTGAACATATGAACTGCTTAGTTTATAATTTCTGTAGTTTTTAACAACTTTCCCCTCAATAGTTTTTTACACAATAGTTTTTTAAAAGGAATGTTAACTTTTTAGTTATAATTAATGTATGACTTCCGGTTATAAATGTATTTATTGGAATAATAAGGACGACAGATTAGTAAGAGATATTGAGTTTTAGTTTTGCAAGTTTGCGGGAGAAATTATTTAAATTGATGGCAATTATGATCAGCCATGTCTGTTCAGAGCAATTTGTAGGCGGGCATATTGCATAATTGGCATTGTGCTGTTATATCTATATGAAGTCGTTAATACATTAATGTCATCGCCTGCTCGGTTGAGTTATTGCTTTGCTCCATTATTTATATGAATAATATGAATTAATTTACTTTACTGGGTATCCAGTATCATGTGAACAAAACAAAGTAATATGATTGGCTAATTCACTATTAACGAGTTTCAGATACATATTTCTGGTTCTTATATACATATGTATTCAAAAATCTTACATCTATGTTGAATGATTATTTATAACACTGCATATCTACTGACCATTCCCAAGACAGGGACCGACAAATTAGTTTGCTGGCAAAATGCAAAACACACTGCGAACATTATAACTCTATAGCTAATTTCCAGGTGTTGCAACAACACCAAATGGTGAAACCATGGATAATAAAATACATTTTACAAGTTATTTTACAATCCATGGTGAAACCATGCATTGCAGCCCTGTAGACACGGATTTAGCGCAAATGTTAACACACATTTTCGTGTTGGCGAAAAACAAAATTTACACTCGATAAGTTAAAGCTTTATCAGAGATACAACTATGTGCCCTCTGATAGGAATTGAACCAGTACGGCCCTGCGATTCCGGTGCAGCGCTCTAACCAACAAAAACATTCGCCTAGTGTCTACAAAGCTGAAATGATTACACCATTCGAATATTGTCGCAACACCCAGAAATTTATACCCGCTTTGTGCAAGACCAAATGTACAATTTCGTTGCCTAAATTTACATTTTGGGACGGAGATATTTACCATATGTAACTTGGGGAGTAATTATATGGTGGTATAAAATTCGATAAAAAAATAAATAGGTTGGTTTCACTTCGTGAAATAGTGCACTGCTGGTGAGGAAAGCAGTTCTCGTGTTTGTGTAGCACCATATATAAAATACTAAAACCATTATGCTAAAGAACCATCACACACAACAAATCACCCAACGAGAATACATTACCACAATCATGGTCATTCATCCAACGAGAGGTAATACATTGAATAATCTTTGTCGTCCGTTATTTCCTTCTCAATTTCTAGGAAATTTGGAAGTGGGAGATCATTGCCCTGTTTCGTCGTGAATGTTTCCAAGATCATTAAATTTTTACATCTGCAATGATGGAAAAAGATTTAAGTTTAATAAGACGTAAATTCATCCACTTTTATTCCGAGACCTGCACGCTAATTCAATTGTCCTCTGAATTAGAATTCCCAAAATCCCGAAATATATTCTTCACGATGATAAGAATTCATGGAATCATAGTTTTACGTTAATAGAATAGATGGTCTGGAAACTCATTATTGCCAAATCCACCAATAGCAATTTTCAATTTACCCTATTGTTTGAGTCATGGATAGGTAACTTTCTTAAGACATTGCTATTGTTAGTTTGGCAAAAATACAATACGCACGTGACGGTGAACGACCAGATTTATGAATAAACGTTGACTAACATAGATAATGAGTTATGTTGTTCTGATGAGTTTCCAAACCATCTATTCTATTAACTATGATGGAAAATACTGTTGAGATATAAAATTTACGTCTGAATTGACTGAAAATCTAATAGGATGCGATGGAACCACCATTCTATCTACGTACAGTACTTTATGCAATTTTATGCGGAGTAAATATGGCTCTCGTAAACGACTGCTCTGGTATGAATATTTCTAACCAAATAATTTTTTATTATGTCTGGAAAAAGCGAATATAAATACGTTTTCCTGCATAGCTAGTTCCGACCTGAAAATTGAAAACACTAAGAAAATATGGTTTTACTTCTTGCCAAACGTCCCGTACATGTTCTAGGAGTGATTTGCAAAGCACAACTTCCAGGCACCATTCTACATATGCACGTCCATTGTGCTTTTCGCTAATAGAGGTCGAGGTTTACTACCATAAGATACGGTGGCGGCGGAACGGGGGGGAGGGCCCCCCCCTCAAAAAATGGATAAGATTGCAAATGTTGAAGTTTATATATAAAAATTGGGCAAATTTCGAAAAAATTCAGGAAAAGTCAAAGGAAACCGGCATGTGTAATAAAAATATCAAGTAGGAAATATTTTAGGTCCGAAAATCCCCCAGCCCTTCCCCTGTCGCAAACATTTCCGAGGAAAAATTCTATATGTTGGACAATTTATGGAAATTAGCCCCACCCCCCAAAAAACCGCCACTAATAAGATACCTTTCATTGCAAGGCTGACAGTAGACATCGAGTTGAAAATACTGATTATGCCATAGGAAACATGTCCGTCGTTTTATCATCGAACTCCGAGTGGGATCACGTTGTCGTAAAAACATCTAGAAATATTTTCAATGAAGATATCAAGAGACGGTAGTTATATACTGTACAGGAACAAAACGATGCCGTATCATAGGCAGCGCAGCAAATATCCTGACAATGAATAGATGTTAAAGAGGAGAGTTTGCCTCTGGATATTGTGGGTTCGATTCTCGCTGAGGACACATGACACTTATTGTGAAAAGAGTCAGTCAAGTCGCCCTACCGAAAGTCGTGGGTCCAGGTACTCCGGTTTCCACCAGCAGCGAATGTTGACAGGATGGGTTGGGATAAACCCAAGGGCGAAACTTGAGAGGGGGTATGGGGGGGGGGGGTGGCACGCCCCCCTGAAGCGAGTCGCTCGGGAAGGCCCTGTATATACCTGGTAATCTCGTGAAGAAATGATTTTTCTTCGTTCAACTGTCTGATCTTCGACAATAAGTCGTACTGTATGGCTGTATGTAAAATGTCCTGGAAAATACAAAATGCAGAAAATGTAAAACAATAAAAACCGTTATCTATTCTCGCGTAAAACTGTAATGCTAGTAAATCACGCAAGTTTGAAAATAGAAAAGAGAATGTTATAGATAGATAGATAGTTCTTTGAAGTTTACAATGCAGCCATTAGCTGAAAAGTAAAATTTACAAGAATTTATAAAGAAGGATATTTTAGAACAAGGAATTCTATTATATGTCATTAATGTACAAGAATTACGTACCACCTTGACCACGTTTTCGTATGCGTACTTGAGGACTGCCAACAGCGGCCAGATAGTCATGTTGAACATCGAAATCTTGATGTGGAGGAAATTTCTGAAGAAAACAACATGATTATTTAGGTCCTAAAGTTATAAACTTTGGTTATGCTGGGATAGCTCTACTACTTCTAGGGGAGGGGGGGGGTCCCCTCCAGTCCCCTGACACACATAATCCAATTTTATAGCAGAGGTAACCAACGGCTATCTATTGGGAATTTGATATATTGTTCTCGTTCATTAGAAGGGTCTTGTAGATGGAAATTGTCGAGTGGAAAGGTCGTAGGTTCGATTCCCAACGTGGTCAGGCATATTTTTCAAGCTTGCCCGGTGTGGATATACACTCAGAGTAACATCACAAGCAAGTTGTGCCACCGACATACGAAATTGGAGATCATTTATTTTTTTCTGAACTTAGTTGCCATGTTTCTTACCGCAAAGTTTGGAGGTTTGGAAACCAGGAATTTCCGTTTCTTGCTGTCCTTGTCCAAACGATCTTTTATATCAATACCAACCTTCGCACACACTGCCTGCAAAAATAGTTTAGACTTGCTCAGAGTTTTGTAAACAAATAGGCAATGATATCATTTGATTCCAGTTTGGTCGGGTACACACGTAAAAACGCACAAGTTGTTACAAGCCTGCAAACAAGTTGTTACAAATCTGTTCACAAGCTGTCGACAAGTTGGTGTTCGTACTGCTTGTTCCCCAGTTGTTGTAACAAGTTTGGAACAAGCTGTTAACAACTTGTAACAAGCTTAATGGCATTATCAGACTAGTTACAAAGTTGTTCTAACAAGTCTGATACAGTCATGATCTAACAAGAATGTTACAAGGTTGACGACACAAGGTTGTAACAATATTGTTATATCATGACTGTATCGGACTTAAAGTTTGTTCGTTCACTGCAACCAGGTATATCAATCATGTTTCGCTCGCTACTCTGGTTTAAATAAATGACTACAAAGCCCAGTCGAATTGTAATCAAGACCCAACGTTTCGACACTCCAGTCTAGTGTCTTCATCAGGGGTGATCTAAAACTGCTATCGTGGCTTCTT